ATGTGAGACATACGTCGAACCAACTACATCTAATACTATATATAATCTCAGTAAACCTTTAGCTCTTTGTCTTCAAAAATACAGTAGGCCTACCCATACCTCCATTACGAGATTAACTTAACACAGATTTGAAGTTTTTATTTTTAGTACTGTAATTATTGAAATATGAATACATACTGTATTTTTATATGTTAACCTTCACGTTTTTTCATCTTACAAAATGACGTACAAAGTTATCACTGAAATTTATAATTGGAAACCTACATTTGGTCTGTCATAGGTATGCCAAGGTGACACCATCCGTGTAACAGTTAATAATACTATGGAGGATGAACTCAGCACATCGATCCATTGGCACGGCCAGTACCAATACGGAACCAACTGGATGGATGGTGTTGGTATGGTCACTCAATGCCCCATAAAGAATGGTCCATTATTCGTTTACGAATTTGTGGCAAATCCAGCAGGAACCCAACTCTGGTACGATATGTCAGGATTAAGCCAGAGCGACGGCTTGTTCGGCTCATTGATTGTTAGACAACCCATCGAAGAGGAAGCAGAGGTCATCAGCAAAGCGTATGACTACGATCTTGCTGAACACGTGATTGTGATGAGTGACTGGTCAACTATAGATGGACTGGAAACATTCACCACTGCCTATGCACCTGCCAAAGTAGTCAGAGATCACACTATTAATATCTTGATTAACGGAAAGGCACAAGGAGCGGAGTTCATAGACGCATTTGGAAGAAGTGCGTACACTCCACGGGAGACATTCGGAGTTGTAAAGGGAAATCGCTACCGTATGCGGATCATGAATGCAGCAGCAACGTCTTGTAACATCGCCGTTTACGTCGAATCCCATTCGCTGAAAGTTATTGCTGCGGACGGCAGTCTGGTCGATCCAGTCGACGTAGACTACTTGATCATCTCGCCAGGCGAAAGGTTAGTAACTGCTTTTTAAATGTATGTTATGATCATTTGATTTTCATATAAACTATTCATTCAACTTATCTTTTCGCCAAATTTAAGCGTGTTTCGTGTGTATGTGTGATTTTT